TACCAATATTCAGGTAATTTGAGCAGAATAAAGTCTTTCTTTAAGCGACATTTTGTTGTATACTTTCATAAAGTAGATTTTTATATTTTAATGAGGGCATTAAACTATGTAATTTCTCAATGTTTAGAAAGCTTTGAAACTGTTCTGTAAGTCTGGGATGGTATAGAATGTTCACAGGAAAATATTAAAACCGGCCTTGCCTAGGGTTAAGTTACTCTTCACACCCTAATTGTATACACAGTGCCTTAAAGCAAGAAAAGGTTGTGCAAAAACAAATACTATTTGGTGGCTTCTTTCTGTTTTGTTTTTTTTTAATCAAATGCTTAATGATACTTTACTTTTCTTCTTCTTCTTTTTTTTTTTTTTTTACCTGAAATGCCTTTTGGTGTCCCTTATTCATTTTTCTTGTGTGTGTATGTGGTATATGTAATTTTTTTTTTTACACTTTAAAATTTTAAAAATGTTTTCTATTACACTTTCCATTTAATATTATTTTGTATCAGTTTCAGGTGTAGAGTATAGTGGTTAGAAAGTCATATACTTTACATAGTGTTCCCCCTGATATTTTCAGTACCCACCTGGAACCATACATAGTTATTACAATATTATTGACTGTATTCCCTATGCTGTCCTTTACATTTCCATGACTACTTTTGACTACCAATCTGCACTTCTCAATCCCTTCACCTCTTTAAATTTCTGGGTTTGTTTTTAACTTGTATATATATACACATACAGAAACTGACCTATCACTGTAAAACAGCATTTAAATAAATATATGTAATTCTAGACAGGGTTCAAAATTCTGAATATCTCAGTAATTCAGTCTCTAGGGGGTAAAAAGTCTATATATCTTTAGATCCAGAGAGCAGTATTAACGTTGTTTAGAAATCTGTTATAATCACAGTGTCATTAAGGAAAAGCTAGCTTATGTATTCAGTGCAGTCTTCTTAAAAAGTAAACAGTATGTTTTAGCTTCTAAGCAAATGCTTTGTTCTAGAGTATGTGCAGTGATAACAAAACTTTTTCTGATGGCCTGTCTAAAATTTCTATTATCAAAATTTTGTTTTAACTTATTACCAGTTATCAAGGATTATCAGAGACAGGGTGAAGTAAATACTTGTTTAAAAGAGCATTTTTACTTTACACACAAGTTTGTTTTTTTTATATTGTGAATCTTACATTGAAGACCTGACAGGATATGCACCCTCTGTTCACCAGAGAGGAAATATAAATGGCTAAATAAATTCAAGAAAAAGTTCACTGATAACCAAAGAAATGTAAATCAATATAAGGTGGTGTGTTTTTTTAAGTAACTTTATTTGTAATATTTGTCCAGAGGAAAATTCTTTACATAGCTTTTTATGTAAAAGGCTTTATCACAACTTTATTTTCAGTATCAAAGAATTAGAAATAATCCTTTGGCAGTACATGGAGGCTATAGTCTGTCCCCTTGATAACTGAATGTCAAGATCTCACATAATAGATCAGAGCAGAATAGTATGTGACATCATCTTAGACAGAATGATTCTTAGCTGAGTATATGTAATATGAATAAAGGAAGTAGGTGTCAATAAGAATTGGGATAGGCTCATCCCTGGGAGGGATTATTGAATTTCTGAGATTGGCAGAACCCAGGGAACAAAGGGCCTTTAACCAACAGACATTGAATATGTAGATCTCATTGACAAACTATCCTATTAGGGAAGTAGATGAATGTGTTAGGCAAGCTTAGCCTGACTTCACTAAGCATCAGTTCCTCTGACTCACTCCACTTGTTTCTGTTCCATGTTCATCAAGCAGCCTTCTGACTATTTGACTTAACAAAAATTTTACTTATTGGTATGAATGGACCTGTCATTCATGAAGATATTGAGAGTGATCATAATCTTTATTTAATTTAAATGTGTTTTTTTTCTTATTTTTTAAATTCTCTAAAATGAAGTTATTTTATAGTGAGAATTAAAAAATATGTGGCTGAGTTAAAATACAGATGGGTTTAATATTTGGAACTTTTTTCTCAGATGGTCAGCAGGAGGATGAAGCCAGTAAAATCGAAGCTTTGCACAAGAGGAGAAATTTACTCGCAGCATTTTGTAAACTGATTGTATATACTGTTGTGGAGATGAATACAGCTGCAGATATCTTCAAGCAGTATATGAAGGTAAAGTTTGAAAAATGGATAGCAAGATATTTTTTCAATGCTTAAAAGATAATGTAACATTGGCTTTTATACTTGGTAGCCATTGAATTTTTTTAATAGTAAATTATTTTTCTAGTTGAAAAGAAATCTCTAGCTCTACTTCATTATAATGAACAATTTAAATTTGTTAAGTTCACTAGAGGCCCGGTGCACGAATTCGCCCATGGGTGGGGTCCAGCCCGCACGCCCCAATCGGGATGAGGGCATGCTGGTTGAGGTCAGGGCCTGCCAGGGCGAGGGGCCGAGGGCGGTTGGTGTGCCAGCCCTGCCCCCTGGTCAAACTGCTGGTCGAACTACCGGTCAAGGGAACAATTTGCATATTAGCCTTTTATATAGGATAGGATTTGCATTTGGGATATTGGAAACAGCTTGTCTTAGGTTAACTGTCACTATTAGAAATTGTATTTGTCCCTTTGTAATAAAAAATTAAAAAAAAAAGAAATTGTATTTGTGATTTAGTTTAAGACAACAGGATGGTATTCTTTCCCTTGCTTGATGTAGCATTAAAACTATTGTTTTTAGAAGTCAGGAGGCCTAGATGGTATAGTTTTGGCTTGGTGACTATGCAACTCTGCCTTTCTTCATCTGTTCCACTGGGATAGCTCAGGTTCCTTTAGGGTCTCAAAATCTGATTTGATTTAGAGTAGGTTATTCACAATTTTTGTAAATAAACATGAAATTCTCTAATATTTAAGTAGTAGTAGAAAGGATATGGTTAATTGTACTAATAGAATATGACTAAATCTGATAAGATTGCTTTTCTTTAATTCTTTCTTGAGTAAAATCTAATTATGAAAATAAACTTCATTAAGCCTTTGGGCCCTTTCGCAGTCCGGGAGCCCTAGGGGGATGTCCAGCTGATGGCTTAGTGCTGCCTCAGAGGCCGGAGAGGCTCCTGTCACCACCACTGTGCTCGCCAGCTGTCAGCCTGGCTTGTTGGCTGAGCAGCGCTCCCCCTGTGGGAGTGCACTGACACCAGGGTGCAGCTCCTGCATTAACCTGTCATTCACCTGTTTGGTTGATTTGCATATTAGCCTTTTATGTCAAAACATAGTAATTCTCTTTGGAATACTTTTCTACAGGATGGAGCTCTAGTACCATTATAATTTACTTTGGAACCTAAGTTATTTGTCATGATACTTCAATTTTTTTTTAAACTAAGGTTGTTTATGAAATAATTTTGCAAGTTTTAAACTTTTAGACTTTAGACTTAGGTATTCTAGGTTAAAGGCAGTTGTATTAGTCACAGGAGCATAGTTATCCTGTATGCATTTTAAAAACAATCTTAAATTAGAACAAAATTTCATATGCAATGCATCATGTAAATATCACCCATAATACTTTTTCTCTTAAATGCTAACAGCCTAATAGTTTGTATAAGCCAAATTAATAAAGTTGGAAACTATACATGGACTGCATGCCATTAGCAATGGATAAGTTATAAAAGTAACTGATTATATTAATTGTCTTAATAATAGTTCATGAAGAATACAAGAACTTGGTTTATATCCTTTGTCTTCTTTCTGAAAATCTGTATAACATAATTATTGTTTTATGCCATACATCCTTAAAACAAAGTTTAGAGTTTAATATGATTAGATCTTACTGTCTGATATTTATTAATTTACTTAAGTTAGGGATTGTGTGTTTAGAAATTATCTTAAAGTTTCGGTAGCATTCTTTTGTGTTTTTGAAGACATAATTTTAGCCAAATACATGCTTACATGATTAATGTAAAATTATTCTTATTGTCCAACAGTTTTAAAAGATAAAGCTCTAATTTGTGCAAATTTCTTTTCTAGTATTATAATGACTATGGAGATATCATCAAAGAAACAATGAGTAAAACAAGGCAAATAGACAAAATTCAATGTGCAAAGACCCTTATTCTCAGTTTGCAACAGGTAAGACATTTAAGAGTACCAGCTTTAGGCTAACACAATTAACAATGGTTTTCAAGGTAACTGTGGGTCAAGGATAATAGACAATTCATAAAAGTAGAAATATAAGATATTCAACTTTATTAGTAGACATTGTAAAAGTGAGATTATTTTTTGTTTTCAGACTGGCAAGTATGGCAAAACCTATAGCTATATAAGGTATGGGGGAAATAGGTACTATCATCAGTGTATATTGGTAGAACCTTCCTGGTAGGCAGTTTGTCAGAATTTATAATGTATATCCCATTTAAGGCAGCAGTTCTACTTTGAAACATTTATCCAAGGTAGTAATAGCACAAGTTTGCAAAAATGAGTGTAAAATTATTGTACATAGCAACATTGTATATAATAACAAGGAATTAGAAATAATCCTAATGTTCATCAGTAGGATGTTAGATGAATATAGACTACTAGAGGCCCAGTGCATGGATTCGTGCACCGGTGGGGTCCCTAGACCTGGCCTGCAGGGAGTGGGCCAAAACTGGCTCTCGGACATCCCCTGAGGAGTCCCGGATTATGAGAGGGTGGTTCACAGGTGATGCAACCTGGAATTGGGCTTCCTCCTCTCTGGTTCTGGGTGTGTCACCCGAGAACCGCAGCTGCCAAGTCACCACAGCTTGCCAGCTCCTGCATCGAGCGTCTGCCACCTGGTGGTCATTGTGTTTCGTAGCTACCAGTTGGATGGTTGAACGGTCAGACATATGCTTAGGCTTTTATATATATAAATAGGACATCTCTGCAATGGCTGTTATATAGCACTTAAAATTAGTTTTAAATAGGTCTGTATTCATTAATGTATAAAGATTTCAACAGTATATATATGGTTTGAAAGTAAAGTAAAAAGGATTACAGTACAGCATCCCTATAAAATTGTACATATCTATCTGGAAAAACAGTCACTAAAATGTTAGTTGTGGTTAACTTGTTTTGGTAGGTTTTAGGTGAATTTTACTTCTATCTTTGTATGTGTTTATATTTATTTTAATGAGTATCAGACTTATAATCAAAATTCTATATATAGTCATCTTCATTTTGGCAGAGGCAAGGCAAATTTAATTAGGTAAAAAATAATTTGCTTGGTATACTTTTGTCTCTTAAGAGACCAAATGCATGCGAAGCACAACCCCTTTCAATTTGATAAACTTTCTTCTTGCCTTTTAGAAATCTAGGTATGAAGATTCTTAATCTTATTTGCATACTCTATTAAAACTAATAGAGTTTAAAAGATTTTAAAGGTAGAATTTAAATAACTTCTTTGTTATAAAATAACAGCAGCTTGCTCTAGAAACGTTAGAAAATATAGGAACTAGGCAAATGCAATTTATCCTTAATTTTTTCACTTAATGCTTTCAGTTTTTATAGCCTTCTTAGTTTTTTTTAATGCATTTATGAAATCTTATTTTTACATAATTAAGTTACTCTGCATTCTATTTTGCAGGCCTGAATTTTTCACATTAACAAATTCTGAACACTTTCATTCTATTAAATACTTGCCTCAGTATTTAAAATGACTATATAGTATTCCATTTTATAGAGGCACCATAATTTAATCAAGATCTCTTTTTGTTTGATGTTGGGGTTTTTTTGGTGGTTTTTTTTTTTACCACTCTTTGCCATTATTAATGGCATTAAAACAAACAGTTTTTTACTTATGTATATTGTGCACAAATCATATCCTTTCTTTTGGATAAAGTCTGATCATAAGTATTGCTTAGTTAAAGGACATCTAAACTTTCACTAAATTTTGCCAAATTGTTGTATAACAGGGGTGGGGAAGCTTTTTTCTACCAAGGGCCATTTGGTTATTTATAACATCATTTACAGGCCATACAAATTTATCAACTTAAAAATTAGCCTGCTATATTTGGTCAAACATTTAGTTACATTTAGGGCCAGACCAAATGATTTCTGGGGCCTTCTGTGGGCCGGACGTTTCCCACCCATGCTCTATAGAAAGGAAGGTAATCTCAATTTATGTTCCCAACAAATCAAAGTGTTCACTGTACTGTATTCTTATCAGTGGTAGTAGCCATTATCTGTTTATAAAAACTTGGCAGTTTGGTAGTTGAAAAATTGCATATTGTTTTGCTTACTTTATGATGAAAATTTTGATGTGAGATTCATCGTTTAAATATAAATAGCAGAGCACAGTTTCCTCATAAGTTTGTGGACTTTCTTTTTCTTTACATTTTTGTATACTATCTTAATATCCAGTTTATTCCAGCAGAGTAGAATTCTTCCATAACAAAACCTAAAGAGTTTCTAATCTCAATAACTATCTCTAGTGTGAATATGGTATAAATGCTATAATTTTGGTCATTTGTGTCATGTGTTTTAAAAATTTATGTTTTTTAATAAAACACAATGCCTCATTTATGGATCATCTATTAAAAGTATATTTTAAGTAGAAAATATGTTATTTTAAAAGATGTTAATAACCCATAGTTATCAAAAAAAAACTTTAACATGCTTGCTTTCTTTTTTTCCCAAACAGCTTTTTAATGAAATGATACAAGAAAATGGCTATAATTTTGATAGATCATCCACAACATTCAGTGGCATAAAAGAACTTGCTCGACGTTTTGCTTTAACTTTTGGACTTGATCAATTGAAAACGAGAGAGGCCATTGCTATGCTACACAAGTAATCTCCAAATATTTTATTTAGTTCTCCTATTTTTTAATCATGAAAATTTTTGAATCTAGTTCTTTTGTTTAGAATAATCAAATTCTATTGCTACTTAATTATTTGTTTACAATTCTGTAGCATATCTCTTAAGAACTATAGTGCTATTTCTATTAACACATAATTTGGGACTAAATGTCCTTTCATACAAAGTATTTGCTTTAATTAAAATCATACATAAAATCTTTATAAATTAAATGGAGAAAAGCAGCATATATTCATTAGGTATCACAATATTACTTAATAGCTTTTGTTATAATTTCAAAGAAATTTTTGAGATTTGATTCCTTTATTTCAAGTTTTCTCTTTCTGGTTCTGTTCTCCATATTAGTGAACTTCTCCTTTGTTTTTAGCCACAACCTTCTATCTGCATATCTTATGTGGGTTAAAAAAATTGGAAATTATCTAACTTTATTTGGTCATGTAATTTAATGATCAGTTGTACTTTTAAGTATTAGTATATTTTAGATCTTTAACATGACCAACACATGGATATTAATACCCTTTATCTTTTATTTGGGAAAATCAAAAAAGCTGTTTTATTTGTCTCTCTTTTAGTCATCTTGCTTACTTACTTATAACAATATTAATTGTCTCCCTACAGAAATGTTTTTGCTCTTTAAAGTTAATCTCATACCTTCCCCAACTTTAATTTACTCTCTCCTTTCACTTTGCTCTAAAAGTCTCAAATTTCTTTTTCTGCTATTTAATAGATTAGATGATACTTTTAGGTAATACTAAAGGACCACATATGTAGTAATTATTTTCAGAAGTAATATGTTATTTCCTTCATGTAATAGCCTTCCTTCTTGTCTCTCCATTTTCATCTGGATTATTTTTTACAGTTACATTTTTAATACCGTATAATGTTGGATTGTTGTCTTGATTAATAGATGTATTTATTATTAAATAAATAGAGTTAAAATGGGCCCTGCATAGAGTTTAATTTTTAAACTTTACTCTGATATGGGTCATCACAAACAGTATTGATTGATTGTTAGTTAATCCCCACTCAATGATATTTTTCCCACTGATTTTTTAGAGAGTGGGGGGAGGGAGGGAGAGAGAGAGAGAGACATCGAATAGTTGCCTCCCACACACGCCTCAAACCTGCAACTTGGGAATCCATGACCTTTTGGTGTGGCTCGAATCTCTAACCACTGAGCACATCAGCCAGGGCTACAAATAGTCTTTAAGCTAGTCCTGTCCTGGCTGGATGGCTCAGTTGATTGGAGCATCATCCTGTGCACCAAAAGGTTTTGGGTTTATGATTCTCAGTCAGGGCACCATTCCTAGATTGTGGTTTTTTTAAAAAAATATGTTTTTATTGATTTCGGGGAGGAAGGGATAGAGAGATACATCAATAATGAGAGAGAATCATTGATTGGCTGCCTTTTGCATGACCCCTACAGGGGATCAAGCCTGCAACCCGGGCATGTGCTCTTGGCCAGAATTGAACCTGGGGCCCTTCAGTCTGCAAGCTGACACTCTATCCACTGAACCAAACTGGCGAAGGCCTAGGTTGTGTCTTTGATGCCTGGTTGGGGCACGTAAATGAGGCAACAGATCAATGTTTCTCTCTCCATCTCTCCATTTCCCCTCACCCCCCTTCCTCTCTCCCTAAGAAAGAAAAATCAATAAAAACATATCTTTGGGTGAGGATTTTAAAAAATCCTTAAGTTAGTCCTTTATGTCTTAAAAAATATAGAAAATGTATTGTTCTTTATATGAGAGCATTTGGATTATTTTCTATGGAAAAGAGAACTGAGGAAAGAATGTAGATGTACCAAACCACATTAAATTTTGTATTGTAGAACCTTAAATATTTATCTTTTTTTCTTGCAGAGACGGCATAGAATTTGCTTTTAAAGAACCTAATCCACAAGGAGAGAGCCATCCACCTTTAAATTTGGCATTTCTTGACATACTGAGTGAATTTTCTTCTAAACTGCTCCGACAAGACAAACGAACAGTGTATGTGCTAGAAATACTCTACTTAATTTTGTTTTGGAATTCTTAATTCTTGATTTCTCTCTTTTACACACAGAGATTAGAATTTTAGCCTAACTAAAGAGAGAACATTTAATAGACAGCAACCAATACCAGTGATCCATCAGGAACATCTGAGTCTATGTCCAAAGTTATGACTACACTGGGAAGTAGAATTCTCCTTTTTATCTTTTTACTTGAACTACTAGTGCTTTCCTTAACAGATCATTTAAGCAGGATACTTTTCTGATACAGTCTCCTAAAATGGTGACATATTCTAACAAATAGAATATAATTTCAAAATATTCTCCTACTCTTCCCATCTTGGCTTGTATAAAAGGGCAGAAGAATATTAATAACTTATAGTAGAGATAGTCTCTTAAAGTCCACCAGTATTTTGCATTTATAGATTGTATAGACTTTATATGCAATTTAATGCACATAAAACTAATCTATGGTGATAGAAATGACAGGGTTTACTTCTAGGACTTGCGAGATTGAATGGGGGAAAGCACACAGGGTACTTTCTAGGGTCATAGGAATGCCCTGTATCTTTAAAGATGTGTTGGTTACATAGCAAAACTGATCCAACTGTACTCTTAAAATAAAGAAAAAATTTTTATTGATTTCAGAGGAAGGGAGAGAGATAGTGATTGAAACATCAATGATGAGAATCATTGATCAGCTGCCTTCTGCATGCCCCCTGCTGGGGATCCAGTCTGCAACCCAGGCATGTGCCCTTGATGGGAATCAAATCTGGGACCCTTTTAGTCCGCAGGCTGATGCTCTATCCACTGAGCGAAACCAGCTAGGGCCCAACTGTATTCTTAATTTCTGTCCATTTTATTGTATATAAATTTATTCCAATTAAAAATTTCAGCCCTGGCCAGGTAGCTCAGTTGGTTAGAGTGTCATCCTGATATGCTAAGTTTTCAAGTTTGATCCCCGATCAGGGCACATACAAGAATCAACCAATGAATGCATGAATAATTGGAACAACAAGTCGATGTTTCTTTCTCTCTCTGTCTCTCTCTCTCTCAGATCAATAATTAAATTTTTAAAATTTTCATTGACACTATTAATCAGAGAAATAAAAATTAAAAGAATGAAAACCCATTTCTCAGCAGATTAGAACCAATTAAGAAATCTGATAGTCTCAAGTACTGCTGAGGATGTTGAGCAATAGAGACTTAGGCATTTCTGGTAACAACATAAATTGGTATAAGACCACTTTGTGGAGGAGCTATTTGGTAATGTCTAGCAAAGTTTAACCTACCTTATGATCCAGTAATTCTGCTCATGTAGATACCCTAGAGAAGTTCTTTTACATGTATACAAGAACTGTAAAAGAATTGTTTGAATAGGGAAAAGCTCAAAACAACTAAACGTCTATCAACTAGAAAATGGAATACCATAGGGCAGTCAAAACGGTTAGATTTTTTAAAGGTAAGCATAATTCCTTAATTTTTTAAAATATCCCACTCATTTAAATTTCCAGTAGTCTCAGATGTCATAAATTACTTTATTTTTAGTTTATTTGATTAAATTGGGATTGAAATAAGACTCACACATTCCAATTGATGATTATCTTTTTTGAAACCTTAAAAAAATTCAGTTTTATTGAGGTATAATTGATAAATAAAATTGTAGTATATTTAAAATATATAACATGGTGGTTTTATATATGTATATATTGTAAAGGGATTCCCATGATCAAGTTAATTAATACATCCGTCACCTCACATATTTTCCGTCTTAAATAAAGCTTAAGTTCTATTTTTCAATTATACAGTATTATATTACACAATTTTATCAACTGTAATCACCACATTATACATTGGATCTTGAAATCTCATTCAGCTTTTCTAAAATATTTCCAACTTTATTGATATATAGTTGACATATAATGTGTAAGTTTAAGGTGTACATGTTGATTCACCACTGTAACATTAGCTGATGTCACTCTTCCAAAATGATTAGAGTTTAAAAACATAATGTTGACTGCAAAAGGCAAAGTACCAAATGTACAATGATGTTTACAGACAAAAATGTATTAAAAGTGCAGAAATGTACATAGGGATGATAAATAGCAAATTTATGTTAATGGCAACTTCTGTGGCAGGGAATTAACATCAGGGAGGTTACTTATCCTGAATGTTCTGTTAAATTATGTGGTAGATACACAGTTGTAAATCTCTCTACCAGTATATTTTGGTTTAAGCTCCATATCGCGTAACAATTCTGAGATTTACAGCTAGTTCACAGGCCACACTTTAAGGAATGCTGTGTATAGCTGAAATATATTGCAAATAAGACAAAATAGTAGCCCTGGCCAGTGTGGCTCAGTTGGTTGAGTGTCAGCCTATGCATCGAGAGGTCACCAGCTCGATTCCTGGTCAGAGTATATGCCCAGATTGGAGGCTTGATTCCCATTGTGGGGCTGTGATTCACTGGTGAGGGGCGTGTAGGAGGCAGCCAATCAATGATTTGCACTCATCATTGATGTTTCTATTTCTCCCTCTCCCTTCCTTTCTGAAATCAATAAAACTATATATTTTTAAAAATGAATAAAAACTTTTTTTAAAAAAGAAAAATACTGAACCAATAATACCAAGCAGTATGTTTGTAACTGATATCTCCTGTCTTCTTTTTTAATAGTGTTCAAAACTGGTAATTTTGAATTGATTGGAATTAGTCATTATTATGACAGAAAATATTTGAATTGCATCTTACAGTTGACAAAAATTGTGTTCATGTAGTTGAGGCATAATTTAGACAATAAAACACTGAACTCTTATTGTCAGAAGCCTGGGATTTGAATTGTAGTTGTACTGCTTTTTCATTTTTATGACCATGAATATGTTACTTATCCTTTTCTTTCCTCATCTATCAAATAGGGAGAATGTCTTCCTCACAAGATTATAAGAATTAAGTTAAAGCATCCAAGAGAAAACTGTCTAGCACATAGTCACTCAAATGTTAGTTGAATTTTGATTGCTATCTTACATATAAGCCTTAGGATCCTTGTGATACTTTGGGTCCCAGAGTAGATAGATGTCTGACTTCCATCAGGCTGAAACTTTTTTGCAGGTAGGGGACAGACCATATTGCATTCATCTTTATATCTATCCCTAGTGCTTGGAGCATAATAGACGCTCAACAAATACTAAGCTGAAATGCCCTGAATTGTATGCTATAATGTGAAAATCTTGAGAGACAAAACTTGCTCGTCAGTGTACTGATGAAGCTGAGGTTGAGTAGTAAAGTAATAAGCACATGCTCTCATAGCTAGGGGTTGATAGAACTGGGACTAGAACCCAAATTGTGTGATTTTCAAACTCAGTTGTCTTTCCAGAAATATTAGTTGAGTTTGTTCTAGCAGAGGACCTATAAAAAGTGAAGATAGAGAGACATCTATAGAATGAAAACATTAGCATCTTTTAATTGTCACTCTATGTTTTGAGGAAATGTGGACTATCAACCATTTTAATACTTTGCTTTTTATTTAATTCTAAGTAAATCATTGGCTGTTCCACATGGTATGTGAGCCTTAAGATTATTAGGAGAAATAACCAAATAGGGGAAAAAAGCTGTTGTAGTTCTATGTACCAAAGCTAATGATTTCTACTTCTTTTTAAGGTATGTTTACTTGGAAAAGTTTATGACATTTCAGATGTCACTCCGACGAGAAGATGTGTGGCTTCCACTGATGTCTTACCGAAATTCTTTGCTAGCTGGTGGTGATGACGACACCATGTCAGTCATTAGTGGAATCAGCAGTCGGGGGTCAACTGTGCGGAGTAAAAAATCGAAACCATCAACAGGAAAACGGAAAGTGGTTGAAGGCATGCAGCTCACACTTAGTAAGAATATAGTTTATTCTCTTTATATTTATCCCTTATGCTTACCAACTGACGTGTGTCATTAAGGTTCACCTTATTTTTTTTATTTGAGATTTGTGTTGTTAAGTAGTGTCTTGCACTGTGTGTTCATTGTATGTAAATGTACTGTTTCAAGCATTTTTTAATATATATATAAACTAATTTCTCAAACTGTAGGTGCATCCTCATTTTTCAGAAGAGAAAACTAGTACAGAGAGGTTAAGTAACTTAAGGTCACGCAGATATTACGTAGTAAAACCAGTCAGTCTCATTCTAGAGTGCCTGCTTTTTAAACACTGCTGTACTGTATGCATAGGGATATGGACTCAGTATTGTAGAGCTAATTAGTACCTAGATCATCACATCCATCTAGTTTAAGTGAAGCAACAGATTTACAGAGGTTGCAGCTTTTGGATTTCTACGAAGAGAAATCCAAGATGAATCATGAAGAACTTGATAGAAATACAAATTGCTGTCTATAATCTTAGAGGTAGTAATACATTATGACACATAAGTCTCTTGGACTCCTAACATGACAGGTTTGGTTCAAAATGGACCTGGGGGCTTTCTTCCTTTCCTTAGGAACCTTTAAACAAATCAGCACAGTTGTCCAAATTTGTTCCAGTTATTATTGCTGAGTAGCAAACTACCCCAAAACTTGACAAAGCAGGGACATAGTGCCAGGTACTTCAGTTAGGAAACCTCAAAGACTGAAGACTGGAATTGTATGGCAGCATTCCACTTATAGATATACTAGAGGCCCAGTGTGCACTGGGGCGGGGGGAGGTCCCTCAGGCCGGCTTGTGCTCCCTCGCAGTCTGGGATCCCTTGGGGGATGTCCGCTTGCCCAGGGATCAGACCTAAGCAGGCAGTCAGACATCCATCTCGCTGTCTAGGACTCTCATAGTTCGGGACCCCTCTCACCTGCCTACTGCAGAGGCGGGAGAGGCTCCCGCCACCACTGCTGCGCTCGCCACCTGTGACCCCAGCTTCTGGCTGAGCGGTGCTCCCCCTATGGGAGCACAGTGACCACCAGGCAGCAGCTCCTGCATTGAGCGTCTGCCCCCTGTTGGTCAGTGTGCGTCATAGTGACTGGACATTCCGCTGTTCGGTCGATTTGCATATCACACTTTAATATATAGGATCTGATGCTGACTGTCAGCTGGGACTTCAGCTAGATTGTCTTCCAGAACACCTACATGTGACCTGTTCATGTAGCTTTATGGCTTTCTCATACCACATTACTGGACTCCAAGAGTAAATGCCTGAAGAGAAAGGAGGTGGAAGCTGCCAGTTTCTTTCTTCTTTTTCTTTTCTTAATATATTTTATTGATGTTTTACAGAGAGGAAGGGAGAGGGATAGAGAGCTGGAAACATCGATGAGAGAGAAACATTGATCAGCTGCCTCCTGCACACCCCCTACTAGGGATGTGCCCACAACCAAGGTACACGCCCTTGACCAGAATCGAACCTGGGACCTTTCAGTCCGCAGGCCAACGCTCTATCCACTGAGCCAAACCGGTTAGGGATGCCAGTTTCTTAAAACCAGAAACTGGCATAACATAATTTCCACCATATTTTATTGATCAGTCACAGAGCTCAGGTACAAGGGGTGGGATATAATCCCCCACCTCTTGATGTGAGGAGTGTCAAAGATTTTGGAGCCATATTTTTAAATTGCCAAATAATTTTTAAGCATTACCAGGTTTATAGTGCCTAAAACTTGATTGTCCCATGGAAATGGTTTTAATCTTTTGTCTAATAATATAAAGGCATAAACTTGTAATTTGTATAAGTTAGATTATACTTGGTTGGTTATTTAGTCCCAATATCCCATTCAATAGGGAAATTTCTTTTACAGTAGTCCTGACTGCTTAAAATAGTTAGGGCTGATACTTTATAGGAAGTTAAAATAAATTTTCCTTATTTTAATATAGAAAAGTTATGAATTAAAAGGTGATGTTTCCTGCATATCACTAACTCTTTAAAAGTTTTTCTTATTTGAACAAATAGTTAATAGTTACAAATTTGTGCTGGGTCATCAAATCTCCTTTTCCTTACTTTATGGAGTATGTATGAATTGGCATTTATATAACATCTTAAAGATATATTATCAAAATGGATACTTCGGTTTTTGTAGAAAGAGTCAGTGCTTTCTTTGTTTAGGTTTTTAGAGAGAGCCATAGAAATTTGGGCATTAGTAAATTTGAAAAAAGGAAGAATAAATACTGAAAGGTTGGCCCTGGCCAGGTTGCTCAGTTGGTTGGAGCGTTGTCCCATACACCGAAGAGGGTTGCGGGTTCAATTTCCAGTCGGCACATACCTACGTTGAGGTTTGATCCCCTGTCAGGGCATTTATGGGAGGCAGCCAATTGATGTTTCTTTCTCATATTGATATTTCTCTCTCTCCACCTGTTCCCCTTTCTCTCTCTCCAAAATCAATAAACATATCTTTGCATGAGGATTAAAAAAGGGGAAAAAGCCTGGCCTCTGTGGCTCAGTGGGTTGACTTCAACCCATGAACCAGGAGGTCCCTGGTTCAATTCTCAGTCAGGGCACATGCCCAGGTTTCAGGCTTGATCCCCAGTAGGGGCCATGAAGGAGGAAGCTGATCAGTGATTCTCTCTCATTATTGATGTTTCTATCTCTCCCTTCCTCTCCCTTCCTCTCTCTCTCAAAAAAAAAAAAAAAAATACTGATAGGTTGGCCAGGTCAGTGCAATTTAAAAGACAAAAGTTGGAGCCTAAACACAGTAGAACTTAAAAAAGGTTGATGTGATTATATTGCAAATTGTGAAATTTCTTTCTAATCCATTTATTACTATGGTAGTAGCTACTAGCACATTTTTCTTTGCACTCTTCCCTTAAAAACTTGTCTGTATATATGCACACTAGAGGCCTGATGCACAAAATTCGTGCAAGGGGCTCAGCCCTCATAGCCCCTCACAGCCTCACCTGGCCCTCACAGCCCTGACTTAGTCCAGGTTGTCTGGAAGGTTGTTCGGCTGTTTGGTCTAATTAGCATATTAGCTCTTTATAGTATACTAGAGGCCCAGTGCACAAAAATTTGTGCACTCGGGGGGGAGGGGGGTACGGGGGATCCCCAGCCCGGCCTGTGCCCTCTCACAGTCTG